ATAACAGTAGCAAAATTACAGTTATAGAGTAGCAACGAAAATAATTTTATGGTTGGGGGTCACCACAACATGAGGAACTGTATTAAGGGGTCGCGGCATGAGGAAGGTTGAGAACCGCTGCCTCAAGGTGTAACGTTAAGTAAACAAAGCAACACTGTGTTTGTAGTAAACAAAGCAACACTGTGTTTATTATATTGCAATTTGTGTAATAAAAATCCACAAGATATACAAGTTCTGACAATTAAGTTCAAGAACCCATCCTAGAAAAAGTGCTACATACCTCATTGCTGAATATCACTACGGTCACCTTTGAAGTACTCCCCTTGGGAAGCTATGCACCAATGCCAGTGCCTAGTCCACCCTGCAAAGCAATTTTGGAACTCCTTTTCTGGAATGGCCATCAGGGCTGTCATTGTATTACCCGTGATGTCCTGAATGTCATCAAAATGTCTTCTTTCAACATTTCCTTTATCTTTGGGTAAAGAAAGAAGTGAGTGGGGGCCAGATCAGGTGAGTAGGGAGGGTGCTCCAATACAGTTATTTGTTTACTGGCTCAAATCTCCCTCACAGACAGTGCTGTGTGAGCTGGTGCATTGTCATGATGCAAGAGCCATGAATTGTTGGGGAAAAGTTCAGGTTGTCTAATTTTTTCACACAGCCTTTTCGGCACTTCCAAATAGTAAACTTGGTTAGCTGTTTGTCCAGTTGGTACAAATTCATAATGAATAATTCCTCTGATATTAAAAAACGCTGAGCAGCATTGCAACAGGTTTGCGAACTTGTCAGACCTTATATATTTGGATTTTCTTCTATATACATTAAAAAAAAAACTTTTGGAAGAATAATCAAGACACTAACACCAGGAGATACCTGTTTGGAGAAAGATTGGGAAATATGTGGATGGAGTCAGGCGTTATCAGGGGCAATAGTCATAGTATGCCTTTTTAATCTTTAAAATTTTCTGAACCATGTGACTGTACTAGCTATTCAAAACGTAAAAACTTATTTAGTAAGTAGCATCAAAATACATTATATATCAACATGTTAGCTACTTTAAAATGCAGGCTCTCTCGTCCAGCACAGGGGCACAGTAACACTATTTTTATCCCCCCTCATGCTTTAGGTTCTAGTTCCCCAATTCGAGGTGCCCAGCTGTCTCTTCTGTGTCCTCACAGGGGCTTTCCCTTCTGCCCAATGTTTTCCCATTTCTTTTCTTCTCTCCTCATCCTTGTAGCTGCAGATCTCAGGCATCACCTCCTCAGGGAGGCTTCTCTGATTTACATCCTCCCCCTCCCACCCCAGGCCCTGTTAGATGCCCCTCGTCCTCCCACCCATGGGGACTGCAAGGACTGCTCAGTCCTCCGAAGTCCAGAGGCCCTTGAGCTCCCTCTCCTGGAGGGCTGGCCTTGCCAAGGAGTGGCCAATACCTCCAGGATGAGGTATTACTGACTGGCAGCAGGCCTCCAGAGACATCCACCAGTCTCAGTTTCCCCTAAATGTTATGTTGATCCTCCCACGCCCACAGAGAAAATCTGGTTTCAGTTCAGGTTCCTGAAGCTTTCACAGGAAGACGCCTGGGCTTCCCCATTGCCCCTTGGTGTGCCGTGTGCAGTAGCAATGTAGGGAACTGAGAGGAATCGATCAGGCATGAAGCTCATGGTTCCACTGGGAGGCCAGGCACGTGTGCTAGGATCAGTAACAGGCAGTGGGAACGGGCACGATGACAGCCCCAAAGTGGAGACAGAGCACAGGCGAGAGCAGAGAGGACCATTCCCACTAGGCCTCAGTCAGGGTGGCAGGAGTGTGGCCAGTGGGGATTGGAGGGGTGACTTTTGAACAGACAGCCCAGTCTGGCGGCCTGCAGGTGAGCCAATGGGCAGAGAAGGGGCACAGGCTGGGCCCTGGACCCCTGGGGAGGGGCCCGGGAGCTGAAACCTGGGTGTGTGGTCTGTGCTGGGACACACAAGAGGAGGCACAGGCACTGACAGGAGCACAAGGGCAAAGTGGGCAGAGCCTGGTGCCAAGGAAGCTAAAGAGGGCCTTCAAAGGGAGGCTCGGAGTTCTGTGGGGCTTCACAAGCCTCTTCAGGAAGTGAGATTCATTTCTTTTTTTTCTTTTTTAAGATTTATTTCTAAGGTACAGAATTGAAAGACCCCTCCTCTGGAGTCCCTGGAGTTTGGGCTGGAGCACTGGAGCAGAAAGCCAGGCCCTTCTGCTGGCAGAGCCTCCCCGATGGATCAGGAGAGAAAGCCGAGAGCAGCCCGACTCCTCTCCAGGCCGTTGTGACGCCATCCCGCCCCACCTCAGGTTCACGTCTGCGGGACCAGCTCTGGCAGCCCAGGCCCTTTCCAGGCAAACCTCCTCCCGGGCTGTGGGGAGGAGCACAGTGCATGCCGGGGAACTGTGGATGATTCGAGAGCATCATACGGGCTTGTCAGCCTTCAGGGCCCTGGTCCCTGGCCAGCTGCAGGGGCACAGCCTGAGGACCATCTACTTCCATGCTCCCACTGCTGTCCAATACAGTACCAACAGCACATTTATTTGAGTTTTCAAGCCTCTAGGAGCAGCACAGGAAAGGCCGGGCTCCCCTTCATGCTGCCCAGGCCCTCGCCTGGCCCATCAGGCATGCAAGATGAAGCTGGTGGACAAGTCAAGAGTCTTCGGGGCCAGGGCAGGCACAGGCCCCACTCTCTGCCGTCCCCACCCCACTGGCCTGGGCCTGGCCCAAGCCCCAGAGCCCTCCTGCTGCACTGACCTCTTCTTGGTGGCCATCGCCATCTCTCCCCCCCAACCTCTCTGATCCCCCCATTGGAGCAGGGAGCCGGAGCCACCTGCATTGCTCCCTTACCCTGGAACCAAACCGGCTGCTGTCAGGCTGCTTCTGTAGGCCTCGCCTCTCCAGTCAGGTAGCCAGCCGAGCACAGCAGGCCTGGCTCTCCTGTCATTGTTCTGTGTACCCAGCTCAGAGCTGGGCACTCGGCAGGGGACTGGGATGAGCCAAGGCTTGTCCAGAGAACTACTGTAGGTCAGAGCAGGGCAGCCTGACTCGGCCTCTCCCAGCCTCTGGTGTCCCCACCTCCATCCATCAGCTCCTGGCTGGGCCTGAGACTTCTCAGGGCCTCAATAACCCAAAGTACAGAGCCAATGCCTCCTCCTCCAAGATGCGCTCCTGGTTCAGTGCCAGGATCAGGCTGGGCTATGGACGGTCAGCCAAGGCTGCTACTTCAGGGCCCTGAGAACAGCCTCCAGCTTCATGGCCACGACCAGGTCGCCCTTCACCTTCAGTCGTCCACTCATGTAGGCCCCCAGGGGCCGTAGCTCCCTGCACAACAGGGCCCGCAGGTCCGCCTCGGCCATCTCCACCACCACGTCAGGGATGCCATCGGGCACCCCACATCCCACCCACCCTTGTCCTGTGGGGAGAAAGAAAACTGAGCATTAGTAGGGGCACAGCTGTGCAGTGGGGGAAAGGGGGTTGGCATGTCCCCTGGGAGGAGCGTGATGGTTAAGCGTTCAGATTTTAATATCCTGGGTTTAAGTCTTATTGGCTGTGTGACCACTCAGAGCCTGTTTCCAAACTGGTGAAATAGGATGATGATCATCCCTAAATCACAGCCTCATGGTGACAAGTAGGTGAGATAATGCAGGAAAAGTACTCAGCCCAGAGCCTGGCTCACAGAAGGCCTGCAGCATGTGCAGAGCTCTTGGTACAGGAAGCTCGGCTACATGAGCTGTCCTCCTACTGAGGACAGGGCAGGGAGACAAAGACCTGGATAATTATTGTCCGCAAATGGTGTCTGAGCCCATGACTGCTATGGGTTCGCCCTGAAATGTTGGCAGGAGCAGGGGCAGTCTAAAAAAGGACCAGGGGTGAGGTGGGCTGGGGGCCCTCAGTGGTGCTGAAAGCAATCTGGGTGGGGAGGAGAGGGCAGGGAGGGCAGCTGCACCTGTAGTGAGGTCCAGGAAGTAGGTGCTCTGGGTGCCACTGGGCAGGATGACATTGAACTGGTAGCAGGCCCCAACTTGGCTGACCAGGGCCTCAGACAGGTAGGGCTGCAGAGCAGTCAGCAGCCCCTCTGCCAAAGGCTGCTTTGAGCCGGGCCCAGCACCAACAGGCGGCTCAACTTCGTTCACCATCTCCACGGTATCTGCAGGGGGTGGCCCAAAGGGTGGGGGAGGGAGGCAGAGAGAGAGGGTCATGTGCTGCCAAGGTCGGGATCACTGTGGCCTCGGTACCTCTGTAGCAGTTCCCCCTTACATCCCCTTCAGGTCTGTGTTCAACTTCCTACTCTGCTAAAAAGTCGCCCTTGAGTTTTCAGCCTTAACCCCCAAACGCCATTTCTAAGCTACTCCAGCCCTGAATGTAAAACTCCTTTCTGGATGCTGTCGCTTCCTGCCATGAAGGCTCCATGCACTCAGATACCTGGACTCTCCCCACGGCCTCAGCTCTGGTCAGCTCTAGAATTGGGGTGTCCTGAACAGATGGGCAGGGTGTGAACTGCACAAAGGCGCTTGGTTAGAGAGCAAGTAGCGAAGCTCCGCCTGTGCTGGGCACCAAGCTGACAGCCCTGCTGAGATCCCCACCCCTTTTTGGAGTCTCCTCACCTGGCCCTGGGGGTAGGGCACCTCCTGCCACTGAAGACATGCCACCCTTCAGGAAGTGGAGAGCCAGCTGCTGGAGTGGGCTGTCTAGGCCAGGACCAGCCAGGCTGTCCTGGGGCAGCTGCAGCACGGCCTCCACTGCCAGCTCCATGCGATCCACCTCCAGTCCCCAGGCCCTGGTCACATCATTGATCTCCAGCTAGAGGACAGCGTGGGAAGAAATGGAATTCATTCAGCACACCTTCTCGGGGCAGGCTGGTATTGCCACACATGGGAAGGTGTGAAACCACACAGATCCTTAAGAAGCTCCTGCCTGGGAATGCAGGCACGGGGCAGTTCCAACCCTACTGGGGCTGCTGGCAGTGAGCAGCCAGGAGAAGGCCCAGGAGGGCATGGGGCCGTGAGGGGGATGATGTCAGGTGAAGGGCCAGCAGCGGAAGGAGGCCCCTTCCAGACAATGGGGATACCATGTGCACAAGCCCAGACAGAACCTGGAATGTCCTGGAACTGCCAGTAACCGCAGTTCCCTTTAGCTGAACACTCGAGTGTGGGCTGGGAGACTGGAGACAGCTGAGGGGTCAGAGGCAGCTGCTCCTGCTCACGTGGATTTCTTCTGAAGCACAAGGATGTCCTGGGGAGGAGTTTAACAGGGAGCTGGCAGAGCAGACTTGCTGGTTGGAAAGGTTCTCTTGGCTGCCATGTGGACGCCAGGTTGGAGGGGCTGAGGGTAGAGGCAAGGAGACCAAGCAGGATGTTGTTTCAAACTGCAGGCAGAAATAATGTGGATCTGGTGTCAGGGATACATGGCTGGGAGGCCAAGATACACCGAGGGAGCAGCACAACTCTGCAAACTGCACGAAGCTACAGCAAGATCCCAGGGAAAGAGAAGCCCCGGGCTTCTGGGCAGCCTAACGTGCGGCGGCAGGGAGGGCAGCGGGAAGGGGTCAGAGAAGCCAGGTGTCTGGGGTGGGTTCTGCATGGATCATGAGTGTGGGCATTCACCTAGGAGGACGCGGAGAGGGAGACGGAGATGTGGGGGAGGGGAGGGACGATAACTGTCTCCAGTACGTCAAGCTTGAAGTGTGTATGGCACAGCCAACTATCCAACAGGCAGCTGGATACATGGGTACAGAGTGCAGGAGAGAGTGGGGCTGGAGCAGAGTGGTGGAAATAATTAGTGTCCTGAGGTAGCAAAAAGCCCCAGGTGGATGCGCTCTCCCCAGAAGGTCACAGACAAAACGAGGCCATTGATGGAAGCCTGGAAACTGAAGGGCAGAACAAGGAGTAACAGGAGTGACCAGGAAGAAAGGAGGAAGGCGGGGGTGTGGAGGAATGAAAGGCGAAGGAAGCAGATGATCGATCACCTGATCAGGAGTAAGAGAAGGATGGGTCCAGGCACAGCCTGCTGCCAGGAGGAGTAGGGGAAGGACTGAGAAGTGCCCTCTGGTTAGCAAGAGGGAGGTCGCCATGATGTCTATCTTAGAAGCCTGGGGGGAGCCTAGGCTAAATACAGGAGAGGAGGAAGGAAACGAGAGAGAGGCAGAAAGGTAAGAAGCGAGGATGAACGCAGGGAGGGCGCTGGGTCCTGGGCCCAGAGCACGGCTGGTGCGGGATGAGCCTCAGGCAGGGGAAGTGAATGTTCTCAGGAAGGCTGGACAACCAGCACAGATGTCGGTGGGTTTTAAGGGGTGATGCTGGAGGAAGTTGAAAGGGTTCTTGTCCTAGAGTTTCTTCTCTGGAGGATTAGGAGGCAAGGCTCCACGCAGAGTGATGGATGGCGGGGGGGAGGGGAGGCTGGACCAGGGCAGTGAGGGGTGGCGTAGCTGGCCTGGAGCAGGTCAGGAGAGCTTGGCAAGTGAGAGGTGGGGGGAACGCAATCCCTCCGGACAAAACACAGGCAAAACGAGGGGAGGGGTGAGAATGAGAAGCGCATGCCTAAACCAGGGCTTAAGGGAGGGTGTGCTGGCTTTCCTGAGATTTCATTTTAACCACACGCACTGACCCAACCTTACCAGGGGCCAACTCAGTCTGGGCAATGGGCTATAAATGACCGTAACATCCTGGTGTGGGACTGACTTCCCCAAACTGCCTCTCTTGGCTCAAAGCCAAGTGCAACAGGCCGACACCAGTTTTCTCTTCCTAAAGGCAAATTCAAATGGTATATGGTTCCATGAATAAAAATTGCTAGTCAACTTGTTATCTGAATTGTATAAGATTGAGCACTGGCAATGAATGTAGGGGAAGACTAGATGAACTCAGTAAGAACATACACAAAGAGATAGAAACCATAAAAAAGAAGAGCTCAGAATTGAAGAATACAATAACGGAAATGAAGAATACATTAGAGGGAATCAACAGCACATCAGATGAAGCAGAGGATCAAACCAGCAATCGGCAAGACAAGGTAGTGGCAAACATCCAATTGGAACAGCAAAAAGAAGAATTAAAAAAAACAAAAAAAAAAAACCACGAGGATAGTTTAGGGGACCTCTGGGACAAAAATCAAGCCTAACATTCACATCATAGGGGTACAAGAAGGAGACCAGAGATAGCAAGGGATTGAAAAACCTATTTGAAGAAATAATGACTGAAAACTTCCCTAATATGGCAAAGGAAATAGACATACAAGTCCAAGAAGTGCAGAGAATCCCAAAAAAGATGAACCCAAAGAGCCTGACACCAGACACATCATAATTAAAATGGCAAAGGTTAAAGACAAAGAGAGAATACTAAAAGCAGCAAGAAAGAAGCAGGTAGTTACCTACAAGGAAGCTCCCATAAAACTGTCAGCTGATTTCTCAACAGCAACTTTGTAGGCCAGAAGGGACTGGCCGGAAATATTCCAAGTGATGAAAAGCAAGAACCTACAACCAAGATGACTCTACCCAGCAAAGCTATCATGTGGAATCGAAGGACAGATAAAGAGCCTCCCCGACAAGAAAAAGTCAAAGTTCATCACCACCAAACCAGTATTACAAGAAATGTTAAAGGGACTTTAAGAAAAAGAAAGATTAAAAATATGAATAATAAAATGGCAATAACTGCATATCTATCAATAATTACTTTAAATGTAAATGGATTAAATGCTCCAATCAAGACACAGAATGGTTGAATAGGTTAAAAAAAAAAAAGAAGACCCATACATATGCTGTCTAAAAGAGACTTACTTCAAATGGAAGGCATGGAAAAAAGAGATTTCATGCAAATAGAAATGAAAAAAAAAGCTGGGGTAGCAATACTGACATATCAGACAAAATAGACTTTAAAACAAAGCCTATAACAAGAGACAAAGAAGGGCATTTCACAATAATAAATGGATCAATTCAACAAAAGGATATAACCTTTGTAAATATTTATGCAACCAAAATAGGAGAACCTAAATCTATAAGGCAAATGTTGAAGGACATAAAAGACAAACAGTAATAGTAAGGGATTTGAACACCCATCGACATCAATAGATCATCCAAACAGAAAATCAACAAGAAAACAGCAGTCTTAAATGACACATTAGCCCAAATGGACTTAATATGTATTTTTAGAACATTTCACCTCCAAAGCAGCAGAACATACATTCTTTTCAAGCACACATGAAACACTTTCCAGGACAGACCACGTGTTAGGCAACAAAACAAAAGTCTCAATAAATTTAAGAAGACTGAAATCGTATCAACCATCTTCTCCAATTATAATGTTATGAAACTAGAAACCAGTTACAAAAAAAACACCAAACCTGAAAAACACATAAACATATGGAAGCTAAATGACATGCTACTAAACAACGAGTAGGTTAACAATGAGGTCAAGGAAGAAATCAAAAGATACCTTGAAACAAATGGGAATGAAAACACAATGATCTACAATCTATAGGGCCCCACCAAAGCAGTACTAAGAGGGAAACTCATGGTAATACAGGCCTACCTCAAGAAACAAGAAAAATCTCAAATAAACAATCTAACCTTACACCTAAAGGAACTAGAAAAAGAAGAATATACAAAGCCCAAAATGAGTAGAAGGAAGGAAGTAATAAAGATCAGAGAGGAAATAAATGAAATAAGAGTGTAAAAAACAATACAAAAGATCAGTGAAACCAAAGCTAGTTCTTTGAAAAAATAACCACCAGACAAAATACACAGGATTATAAGAAAATACGCCAACAAACTGGACAACCAGGAAGAAATGGATAAATTCTTAGAAACATACAATCTTCTAAGGTCAAATCAGGAAGAAACAAAAAATCTGAACAGACCAATACCTACTACTGAAATTGAATCAGTTATCAAAAAAACTCACAACAAACAAAAGCCCTGGACCAGATGGCTTCACAGATGAATTTTACTAAATATTCAAACAAGAATCAATACCTATCCTTCTCAAACTATTCCAAAAAATTCAAGAGGAAGGGAAGCTCCCAAACTCATTTTATAGAGCTAGCATTACCCTGATACCAATACCAGACAAAGGCACTACAAAAAAAGAACATTAAGGTCAATATCCCTGGTAAACATAGATGCAAAAATCCTCAACAAAATATCTGCAAACCAGGGCCGGCCGAGTGGCACGTTGGTTAAGAACTGGCTTGGGATGTCAGAGGGCCCCAGTTCGGATCCCACATATGAGGGCCAGTGACACTGCCCTCTACAGCTAAGATGCTGAACAACAGCTCGACCTGGAGCTGGGCTGCTGTGGGTCGCCGGTGACGGCATAGGCTGCAGTCCCCTGCTGCAGTGGGCTGCCATAAGCTACCGTGTGTAGCCAGCAGCCAGCATGAGTGGCCAGCAGCCGCTGTGAGCGGTCGTCCAGAGACTGGCGACTGATCTGCCTCACCCGGGAAGAGTGCAATGATGGTGCCAGCTTGGGCCAGTGAAGCAACATCCTCCACAACTAGACTGAAACACAAAACGACAGCAACTTGTCTGTTCCCCTTCCCCCAACTCCCCAGCACTGTTCCCCTCTCCCAACTCCCCAATAAAAAAATCTTAAAAAAAAAAAATCTGCAAACCGAATTCAGCAATACATTAAAAAGATCATATACCTTGATCATACACCTTGATCAAAATCCACAAATCAATGTGACACAGCACATAAACAAAATGAAGGATAAAAATCATATGATCATATCAACAGATGCAGAAAAAGCATTTGACAAAATCCAACATCCACTTATGATAAAAACTCTCAACACAGTATGGATAGAGGGGATATACCTCAATATACTAAAAGCCATATATGACAAAACCACAGCTAACAACATACTCAATGGGGAAGGGGTGAAAGCTGTTTTCACACGGAGCCTTTCCGTTGTGATAAGAAAATATGGTGAATGCTGCTGCCGAGTGCCATCCAATGGAAAGGCAGGGATCTTCAATACAGGCAGTGGCACGTGGAACCTAAGTAACAGTGTGTGACAAGTTTCAACTTGTTTGATGCAGTCAGACAGGTGTGAGCTATGGTTGGAGAACATGTGTTTTAAAGTGTGCCATAAATCACCCTCCATCATGACAACACTCCGTGTCACACATCACTTTTGGTATACAGCAATTTCTGTTAAATAAAAACATTACGGTGTGTCCTCATCCACCTTATTTTCCAGATCTGGCACCATGCGACTTCTGGTTCTTCCCCAAAGTCAGAATGACCAGGAAAGGTAAACATTTTGAATCGATTCAGGACATACAAGCAGCCATGACAGCGCAACTAAAGACACTCACAAAAGAGGACTTCCAGAACTGCTTCAGAAAGTAGCAAGAATGATGGGATAAGTGTGTTTGAAACGAGGGGGTCAGGGGGAGGTGTATTTTGAGGGGGATTAATGGCAATGTGTCTTTTACTGTAATAAATTTTTTACTTAAACATTCATTGTATTTTTTAATCACACCTCGTATGTATGGTATCAGATGGATACTAATCAGGGGGGATCACTTTGTAAGTTACATAAATGTCTGACCACTATGCTGTACACTTGAAACTAACATAATATTGAATGTCAACTGTAATTGAAAAATACAAAAAACATTTTTTTAAAAAGTATAAGCACTGGGTTGGGGATAGGGAAGCAGTTGATCTGACTGGCCCAGCTCTGCCCTTGACCATGGCTTTCAGAGGCATAACAAATAATTTCTGAGGCTTAGTTTCCTCCCTCCAAAATAAAATACCAGCCCTCTTGCCACAAAATATAAAGCTGAGATCCACTGGGGCGTGCAAAAGGACTCAGGAAACTATAAAATGTTCTGAATGTGACAGCTATTGCTACTGTCTCAAGTAGTGTTTTCTTGGGAGTTTCACAGTTTGTTGACTTACTTCCTGAAGGGACTGGGACCTGCAGGACTGGCATTACCCAGCTCCCCCACCTGTCCTCTAACCCCAGTTCTCTGGGGAAAGCAGAGCTGAGGAGAGTGGGGGAGAACTTCATCCGAGTTCCCGTCAGGTCATTCAAGCAGGGGACACACTGCCGCTTGTGTATCCATTTCTACACCATCTTGTCACAGAAGGACTGGAGGTGAATTCCAGTGTAGAGAATTGCTTACACATGGAGAACGGGCAGGAAAAAGGTTCAAATGTCCTCATGTCCCTTTGGTCTGTCAGAACAAGGAACACAAAACCACAAAAATGCACATGCTGCACCACCGTGCAGCACGGAGGTGGCTGGGCCAGGTGAGCCCCTGCTCCTTTGACCCACCTGCCTGCCTCAAGTCTTCCCAGGACCCCTGAGGCCCAGCATTGTCATGGTAATGCCCACAGAGCAGTGAAGGGCAGCCATTCCGGTCAGGCCACCCCCTGTCAGAGCGCCTTTGGCCTTCGCTCCCCAGGAACCAGTGTGCCCCAGGTCTCTATAGTCTGTGCCAATCTTTCCTGCCTCAACTCATAGTCCCACCCAGACCCTGGCTCTTCCAAGGTTGCCAGACTCTCGGGGCATATGGTAAACTGAGGCCCAGAGCGACCTGGTGCTTTGCTCGAAGTGTGAAGAGCCAGGCCCAGGCGCGAGTCGCCAGCTCTCCTGTGGGAGCTGCCTACCAGGAGCTGCTCGCTGATCTTCAGCTTCTCCATCTGGATGTCCCGCAGAGGCCTCCTGAGCAGGGCCTTGCTCATGGCATTCTGGGCCGTCACGCGCGTGGCTGTGTTCACGTCCTTCACGGTCATCACTGACAGCACTGGGTCCCAGATGCGGAACTGGACATCGGCTCCCACAGACAGCACAGCCCCGTCCTTAGAGGCCAGCTGTTGGGGGAGGCCATGAAAGAGGAGACACTCAAGGGGCTGAGGCTGCAGGGACATCAGGCCCACTGAAGCCACCCAGCTGGATCCACCCGCCTGATAGCTGGTGCCTCACGGACAAAATGGTGTCTCCAAGTACATGGGGTTAAGTATATGGAGCAAGGATGTCCTCCCAGCCTCCACTCTCAAGTTTCTGGTCTCCTCCCAACCCCGCTCCCGGCCTCGGAAGGCTACTCACAGGCCAAGGCATCCAGAAGACACTCGGCACAAGCCCCCACTGCCTCTGTCCAGGAGAGCTGAGAAGCCCCTCACCTTACAGGGAGGGACATTAAAGGCTCGTGTCCTCAGATCCACTCTCTGAAAGGAGTCAATGAAGGTCAGGAGCAGCACCACGCCAGGCCCCTGAGGGGTGCGGATCTGGCCCAGTCGAAACACGATCATCCGCTCATACGTGGGCACGATCTGTCCACAACAGCAAGGGAAGGGTTGAGAGGGGAGCCCAGGCTGGCGATGATGTCCGCCCAGGGCCCTCCCTCACCTGTCTCCCCCTTGCCCGGGGCAGTGTCAGGTATCCTTAGCTGTTTTTAGATGAGAAAACCAAGGCTCTGAAGGGTTAGGTAACTTGTTCAAAAATCACATGGCCCCTAAGTGAAACAGGCAAGGTCTGAATGTAGTTTTGAATGACCCCAGAAGCCAGGCTCTCAACTACCACACACAGTACTAACTTGATCCCCAGAGGAATGTAGCACTTCTGTGGTCTGAAGCTTGACATGACTCAAACCAGGAAAAGTCTGCCTTGGAGTAGTTAGGAGCAAAGGCTGGCTGCTCTACCAGCAACCCCAGGCAAAGGGCCCCACCAACTTCAACTCCCTACAGTCCTCAAAGAAGCAAATATGTCCCAACCGAGCAATGAAGGCCCAGAGAGGCGAAGTGACTTACCCAAGGTCATACAGTTTTCATTCCAGTGGCAGTTGTGGGACTAGGATTTAGGACCTTCTAAGAGCTCCCTTCCAGACGACACCAAACTCAAAGTCTGTCTAGAACAGCTGACAGCAGCCTAGGGCTGCAGAGAGGGCGAGGCCCGCCTGGGCTTCCACCTTCACTGCAGCTGTCAGGTATGATCCTCAGCTATGATTCATCCTTTTTCCTTTCTGAACCACCCCCTGTGGAAACCAGCCTGAATTCCTATCGCTCATTGCCTGCTGGGCCAACTTGTGCCCAAAGGGAGGAAGATTGGGCAAAGACATTTGTGTGCACCTTCAGGCCAGGGTCCAGACACCAGGACTTGGGAGTTTGGCTCCCAGGATGATGTTGGACAAATCTGAGCCTCAGTTTCCTTATCTGAAAGATGGGAATAAAAAATCCTTGCCCAGTCCACTTTGCAGAAGTGTGATAATACAATATTTAAGGGAAGGGGCAGAGAACAGGGAAATCGTCCATCATCCACCAATGCCAAAGCTTTCAGTGGGGCCAATCCAATCAGCCTTACCTTCAGGGCAAACCAGCCAGAAATGGGGAAGGTGACCAGCAGCAACAAGAACCCCAGGAAACTGATGAGGCCGTGGCAGATGCAGGAAGGCCAGGTCTGAGGTGCATCTGGGGAATGAAAACAGAGGCAGTCAAGGGATGCCAACCGGGTATGGCGGGACAACTGCAGGCAGTGAACGTGGTCAAATGTTTTGGCCACCTCCCCCTTCAGCAGCTCCTCCTTTCTCAGGGCTCTCAATCTGCCTCCTTGCCTAATACTCCTATATCTTTGGGCAAGTTCTGCCCTCACAAGGCTATTCTCTTCAGGGCAACAGCCATTGATCTGGGAAGCCACACCATGGGATGCTCTCCTCGCTGGGCAGAACATAAGTCAGTCTTCTTGTCTGATTTATATTGCCTTCCCATGCTTGGCACAAAGCCAGGAGCACCTGGGCATCTATAAACACAAGCCAAGTTGAACTGATTGCTGCTGCCATAACACATCTCTCTTCTACCATCAGTCCCAGAAGTGTGCTTTCAAGGAGTCCTTTTGCAGATAATGCCTTAGCCTAATGGGATAAAGCATTAATGATTCACCAATAGGAGCCATAGGTGAGGGCTAAGATGTTCTTTCTTAGCTCATAATTCTTCACCCTATTTTAATGCCCTAAGGTCCATCAAATGAATGTTTCACTTAAAGAGCTTCAGGTGGGAGATGGGGGAGGGGGAAACTAGAAAGACAGGGCTCATTTGAGCCCTGGGTCTTGGCCTCTGGAGAGCCAGGAGCCCAGGATGAGAGTGAAGCTGAGAGAGCCTCAGAATCTGGGGTGAGATCATCTCTGCTCTCCTTCCCTCCCAACCCTGGAGGAAGCAGACAGGAGCCTAAGTTCCATCTTCCCAGGAACCGCATACACTCAGGGCTCTCCAAGCCCCAGGATACGAAATCTCCTTTCCTGCCTGGCCCTGATTCACGCATCTCCTGCAGGAAAGGAACCCTTGAATGGGGCAACTGTCATTACAGGAGGGTCAGGGAGGGACCAAATCCTCCATGCTTTGGTGTGAAGCTGAGGGATGTGGGATCTGGGATGTAGGACTCAGGCTTTGAAGCAAGACAGGGCCAGAAACAGGGAGATGTTCAAGCTGAGGGTGTCTAGAAGTGCCCTGGGGGTGAAGATTCTGACACTTCTCTGCAGCCACGTGCCCTTGGCATGCTGATGACCTTCTATGCCTAGACCTTGGGTTTCTTTCTAGTCAAAATGGCAACTTGAAACCCCGACCCGGGTTTCCTCCTCTACAGGGTAGGAGGGTGGTCTGCGTTCCTGGGAGCCCCCGGAGTCCTTGCCTCCTCCTGCATGCTCCCCCTGAGCCTGAGGGGAAATTGGCTTTGTAGGGATTTTTTCAGGAGCTGAATTCTCTCCAGAATCAAGGAAATGGTACCAGCCTTCTCAGCACTCCCTCTCCAAACTCACGTACTGGGGTAGATGTGTATGTGTGTTGGGAGGGGAGGGGTGCTTATCTAGAATTACGGTTTCTCCAGGGCATGGTCAGCAGAGTATTCCACTTTCTGTGCCCACAGCCCAGCAAGCGTGGCTGATAAGAACCGAGGAGGAATGAGGTGGGGCGAGCCTTCTTAGATGATGAAAACTCTGGAGCTGCAGCCCCATAGCCCTAAAAAGGGCAGACCAGCGCTAGCAATCCCAGCGCCCAGTCCAGGCCGCTCTCCACATCGTGTCTCCTCTCGGTCCCTCCTCTTAGAGTGCGAGGGCGCTAGACCAGCTGACTTCTGAGAGGCAGAGAGTTCGGGCCTGGGGATGCTGGCCGGTCCCCCCGGGGTCCGCTGTGCTGGGCGGCCACTCACCAGCTTCCGCCTCTACGGCGCCCGGCTCCGGGAACAAGCAGCCTTTCTGCGAGCCCAGGAAGCCTAAGCTCGACTGCCGGAAACGGTCAAAGTTCCCCAAGGGCAGCGGCCGGTACCCAGACCTGCACAGCATGGCTCCTGACAGGGGACACACGCCTCACCCCCAAAATGCCGGGTTTGACCTGCCAGCCCCCCTGCCCACCGCCGCTTCCGGTTTTCCCTGCGTGGCCCGTGGCGCCAGCGGGCGCGCAGCAGGAGGCTTGCCCACTCGGCTCTCGTCGTCGCACAGCGCCACCTACTCTTAGGAGGACCGAACTGCGGCGGCGCGGCGGGGCGGGGCGGGGGGTGGTCTGCGTTTCTGGGAGCCCCCGGCGGTCCTTGCCTTCTCCTGCATGTACCGCCTGGGCCTTAGAAAAGGAGCACGAAGGGAAGTTGGCTTTGTAATGGGTTTTTCAGGAGCCGAATCCTCTCCAGAATCAAGGAAATGGTACCAGCCTTCTCAGCACTCCCTCTCTAAACCCACGTACAGGGATGGGAGTGTGTTGGGAGGGGAGGGGTGCGTATCTAGAATTACACTACCTTCAGGGCGTGGATAGCAAATTATTCCCAGCAAGCAGGTACTAGCACAGAGTGGATCTCAGTACTTACTTGTTGACCAGGTTACTGCGGTCAAGGCAGAGCGGGAGGGCTTGGACTTTGGCACAAAAAGAGAAATTTCATGTGCAGACCTCAGGGAGCACGGTGGAGTAAGGAGTGAGAGGTTAGCACAGACCTATCACTAGGCAGGCCCTCCAGAGCATCACAGAGGTGAGATCCTCAATCCTGCAGATCGGGAAACAGCACTCCTTGATCCAGGTACCCAGAGGTAATGTGCCTCTCTCCATGAGCAAACTCAAATGCAAATGGTGAATTTACTCTGAGAAGCATTAACTTCCAATAGGGCATTGAGGCAGGCTGTCTTCCAAACAAGCAAAGAAATTAATAAAGCTTTCCTTGTCTCAGCCACATGTCCGTCGGCCTCCTCATGCCCCTCAGCCCCCCAGCCGTAGCCCAATTCCAGGTTTCTTCTGTAGATGGCTGCTCACCATCTTTGGCTTTTCCTAGTTTGATGGCCTGATTCTAAAGCCCTAAGAGGTTGGAGGGTAGGGCAGGCTCCTGGGGCTTCACACAGTCCCTGGGAACTTGGGTTTCCCCCCATTTCTCCTTCACACACGCCTTCATAAGCTTTTACAGGCCCTGTCACCATCCCTTTTGTTCCAAGCTGTAACTGAGCACAGAATGGGTACACAGGAGTCAGTTCAGGGCTTAGGATGATTTGAAGTTCAAAGCCAGGAGCACTGGCCCAGTGAGACCACCTAGAGCTGTGCTGCCTCCCCTCACCAGAATGGGGGTCTGGCATGCTTCTCTGCTGGCCAAGAGCTAACTTGCTGTCTCCTCACTTCATACCCACTCACCAGCTCTCTCCCTTCCCTCCCCATGCCCCACTGCCTCAGATTCACCAGCCTTTCCAGCTTTCACCCAAGGCATCATCCTGTTCCCCTCATCTCCAATCAGTGTCCTTCCAGTGTCTCTGACTCAGGTCCCTCCTCCCATCCCACAGCCACTGTCCTAGACCAGGCCACTTGCCCCTAGGTTGTCTGAGTGACTTTCCCAACATGCACAACACATTCACATTGTTCCTGGGTTCCAACCTGACTCTATTGCCTACAAAACTGGTCCACCTACTTAGCTTTGATTTTGCCCCAGCCCACTCCTGGGCCGACATAGCTCTTGGGACCCCTCTTAAATCAGAAAATAACCCAAACTACTTTCTAAACAGGATCTCCTATTTCAAACCTCCATGTCTTTGCACATGCTGTTCTCTCTGTTTAAAGTGTCCCCCCAATCCCTGAATCCCTGGTAAATTCCCACTGTTCCAAGTCCCAGCTGAAGAATCTCCTTTCCAGCCAGTCTCAATACAGAGTGAAAAATCTCCGTTTGAGGGCCTGCCCTTCCACCAGATCTGGGGTTCTTCCAAAGCAGTAGCCACGTGTGGCTCACCTCTGTGTCCCCCGACTTCCAGCGGAGGCCTGACACAAAGCTGTGCCACTGTGAACTGATGAAAGTTTCAAAACGGAGGGTGGGGGCTGTCCAGGTGGGCTGGGCCACTGTCCCATTCATTATCCCCAGGTTAGCTGTGCATCTACTCTCCTTCTCCCGCTTCTCCGCCCTGGGCGTGTCTTCAAAACCCACAGTCGGCGTCTCCGCCCCTTGAACCGCCCCCAGCTCCTGTCTCACTTCCTCTCCGGGGGCTGTCCCTGAGGCGGCACCACCCCTTTCGGACAGCTCCAGAGATTCAGCCGTCTGGCGCACGGTTCTCGTTCAGTTTCTCTTCCCGCCCCCTAAGATCAAATCCGAGAATCGAAACTCCGCTGAGAGCCATGCAGCAGGAGCCTGCACCCGCCCGATCTTCGGGATCCCAGCAGGACTCCGCACCGCCCCAAGCGCTCACCATGCCTCCCCCGGAGTCCCTCTCCGAAGACCACCAGTCCAGCCCCGGCCACAGCCCCACAGAGGTACTACTGGGTTTGGGGAGATGGGATTTAGGCTTTGTTGATTTGCTATGGTGGTAGAGGTGGGAAGGGTGAAGGAGTTTGGCTAAGTACACAGGGAAAACCAGATCCTAGGGTCCTGGCTGACCCACTTGGCTCAAGTAGGGGTAAGGGAGAGTAGAAAAGGGAACCAGGGTGAGTTAGGGGGAGCCATTCTGGGCTGCGATTCTCCACAGAGCAGTGCCACTCGGGACCGGACTCTTCCGCCTACGCGCTGCCGACTTGCCTCTTTGCCCTTGCTGTGACGAAGGCCCACAGGTTCGGGAGTAGGGAGAATGGAGGTAGTAGCCCAATTGCCCCGCCTGGAGCCAGGGGCATGTTCCACATGTGGAAAAAACAAAACCCAAGTCCCAGCTCAGAATGGGAAACTGTAGCGGGACAAGACAGATGTATCAGCTAAGGCCTCCCAGCTCCTGTGGGGAGCCTTCCGGATCCTTCTCTCGGAACACCCTACCTGCCTAACCCCTATCACCAGGAGGGTTTACTAGGGTTTTCTCCTAGAAGCTTTTGCCTTAATCTTCTGGACTCAGCCTTACACCCCGAAGGAACTACTTCGACTACAAGCTCTGTGTTCTTCCAGGACCGTTTGAAAGCACAAATAACACCAGGTTGCAATACTTGGTATTATTGGCATAATCACAACTGGGAATAGTATTGCTTAACATTACTAGTTAACATTTATGAGCACGTCTCATGTGCCAGGTACTGTATTAAGCACTTTTTTGCATTTTAAAAATTGTGGTAAAGTATACACAACATAAGATCTGCCATTTTAACCATTTCTAAGTGTACGGTTTAGTGGTATTAAGTACATTAACTATATTGTGTAACCCTCACCACCGCCTGTTTCCGGATTTTTTCATACAGAAACTCTACCCCTTAAAGCAATAATTCCTTACTCTCCCCTTCCTCCAGCCCCTGGTAATCTCTAATCTACTTTCTGTCTCTGAATTCGCCTACTCTAGATAATTTCATATAAGTGGATTCATATAATACTTGTCCTTTTGTGTCTGGTTTAGTTCATTTAGCGTAATGACCTCAAGGTTTATCCATGCTGTAGCACAGTGTCAGAATGTCCTTCCATTTTAAGTCTGAATAATATTCCATTGTATGTATATGCCACATTTTGTTTATCCATTCATCTTTTGATGGACATTTGGGTTGTTTTCACCTTTTGGCTGTTGGAAATAATGCTGCTATGAATGTGGGTGTACAAGTATCTGTTTGGGTCAGTGTTTTCAGTTCTTTTGGGTGTGTATCTAGTGGAATTGCTGGCTCATATGGTAGTTCTATGTTTAACTTTGAAGAACCACCAAACTGTTAAGCACTTTATATGAGGTTGATACTTAATGTATCTTCTTTCTAAACTGAATTCCATAAAGGCAGGTATGTATACATATATATATATATATATATATATATGATATATATATATATATATATATATATATATATATAATCTCAGGGCCTAGTATGCCTGATGGGAAGTAGATGCTCAATAAATTGTGGAATGAGAGTGGGAAGGCCTGAGTAAATGGGAAACTGGGGTACTGAGAAGTCTGGGTTTTGCATCATCCAATGACTGCCTGGAATGGAATATGAAATCGCTTTCCAGCCTCCAGCCTTTGGGCGGGTATTGGATGGTTGGGGATTTCTGGGACTTCAGGCCTTACCCCCATCCCCTCTGATCCCCCAGCAAGCTACGGAGGAGGAGTTCCAGTTCCTGCGCTGCCAGCACTGCCGTGCAGAAGCCAAGTGCCCTAAGCTGCTGCCTTGTCTGCACACGCTGTGCTCAGGATGCCTGGAGGTGCCCCGCATGCGGTGCCCTATCTGCCAGGCGCCCCCGCCCACAGGAGCTGACGCGCCTATCTGCCAGGCACCCCAGCCCGCAGGCGCTGACGCGCAGGCTCTGGATAACGTCTTCTTCGAAAGTCTGCAGCGGCGCTTGTCGGTATACCGGCAGATCGCTAACTCGCAGGCGGTTTGCACTCGCTGCCAAGAGCTGGCCGACTTCTGGTGCTTCGAGTGCGAGCAGCTCCTCTGTGCAAAGTGCTTCGAGGCGCACCAGTGGTTCCTCAAGCACGAGGCCCGGCCCCTGGCAGAGCTCCGCAACCAGTCGGTGTGCGAGTTCCTGGACGGCACGCGCAAGTCCAACAACATCTTCTGCTCCAACCCCAACCACCGTACCCCTATGCTGACCAGGTGAGCCAGCGGGCTGGCCGCGGTGGGGTGACGCATCCAAGAATCAGGTAGAGGGTGCGGGGAGCAGAGATCCAGAATCACAAAGCTGAGAACGTGGGATAAGGAGCTTCTAGGGTCTTGCAACTCAAACTGTGAACCGCTGACAGGCAGCATCTCCAGCGATGTCCACAATTTATGCTCTACCGTGCAAGTGGATAGTAATAGTTTCTGATTTTCTACTCTAATAAAAAAGGCTGCAGAATCATCTTTGCACCCTATTCAGTAATTTCTTTAAGATAGATTTTTAGAAATGCCATTGCTGGGTTAAGGGGCATGAAAATTTTACATTTTGATACCTTACCAAACTGCCCTTCAGAAAATCTTAATAGTGGAATTCTCGTTAAGCACGGCCATGGGATCTCCCTCCGTATAGCTGGATTCTAGGATGAAATGCAGGTAGGTAGTTTCTGCTGAAAAGTCAAAGTCATAATACCGTGCTATCTGGGAATGTATGTATGGAGAAAACAATCAGTTCCAGTAATCATTATTTTTATTAAACAGCACAAGATTTTAACTCATTTTTTGATAAATAATACAATTACATGGTTCAAAAAATTAGAAACAAAATTTATTAAGAGAGGGTAAAGTCTCCATTCCTCTTAAATCATCTGCCTACTTCCCACCACTTCTCACTCCCCCATCCAAATAACCATTGTCACTAGTTTGGAATGTTTCCCAAGTTTCTTTGTAAATATATACACAGTTAGGAGGATGTAGTCTTTGGAGGTCTTATTTTTACCCATTTTAGCCAAAAAAGTAGCATACCTATGTGAACTTTGGGATTTCCCACCCTCCCAAAGATTGCTTGTGTAAGATTCTTTTGTGTATTTGTTCCTGGGAAGTGAAGGTATTGTTTGCCGGTTGGGGATACACTCAGAGCTGCATTCCTGCTGAACAGAGAGTGTGTGTTTGGAGACTTACCACCTGCAATGTGGAATGCATATTCCCCAGATTCCACATTAGCAGATATTATCATTTGAATTTGGATTTCTTTGCCTATTTTTAAAGTTGAGGTCCAGCAGCTTTTCATATGTTTATTTATCACTTTTTCTTCATTTGTGAATTGCCTCTTTAGGTCTTTTGCCTTTTAGTCCCCCCTTCCAGGAGTTAGTCTCTTTAAGTGCCTGTTCAAGTGCAGACACAATACCTCATTTAGTGTTGTGTTTAAGTGTTTAGTTTTATGTAGTCTAATCCATCAGTCTCTCCTTTAAGGTGTCTCACTTTGATCATCCTAGGAAACGTTTTTCTCATGCCAATGTTAAAAATATTTTCTTACATTCTATTTTAGTAATTTCATGGTTTTGTTTTTATAATTAAGTCTTTAATGACATTTATTTTTGTGGGTGGTATATGTAAGGTGGAAACTTTCACTTTGCTTTTCTCTCCAAATGGAAAGCCAGTTCTCTTTTATTAAGGGGTTTTAATAGTCCACTCTTGCCTTGAGCTGAAATGCCCTTTTTATCATGCACTAAGTGCACATGTAGTCACGGGTATGTTTGTAAATCTCCGTTCTGTGCCAATGAGCTGACTATGCCTATGCTAATCCTCACTGCTGTAAGGAGTTCTGTAGCTTTATTTATTTTATTTATTTATTTTAAAGACTTTTTTATTGGGGAATTGGGGGGATGGGAACAGTGCTGGGGAATTGGAGGAAGGGGAACAGACAAGTTGCTGTCGTTTTGTTCTT